AAATCTTTGCAACCGTTTATTTCAAAACATTTTAACATAAAATCAAATAGGTGGGGCCTCCCTGGTGGCACAGCAGTTGAGCGCTGGGTTTCGAAGCTGCCCGCAGCCTCTGCAGCATCGGTTCAATCCCCGGCTGCTACCCGGCCACCGGAGGAGGGTCCCACATGGCACGCAGACCTCTCCTGCCGCCCGCTGCTCCCCTCAGCAGTGTATTTTGTCAGCCTGACTGTTCTGCTCTCCGCTCTGGCTCTGGTGAATTCTCTCACCCTCCCGTACTTCTGACTATACCCAGCGCTTGTATAAATAAATAAATCTTTAAAAAAAAATCAAATAGGTGACCTTAATGTAACTTTTTACTCTGCTTATTATATCCTAGAGATTTCACCTAGAAATACAAACCTCTCCTTTATTTTCATTTGCCTTTATCATTAGAAAGAGACCTTTATTCTTCAGGAAGTTAAAGCAACATTGGTTGAGCAACCATTAGGTACTGATACCTGAATTAGGTACAGGGGAGCCAAAGACAGATGTCCTCAGGCTGTGCAGGAATATTTTGAGGGGCTCCCCTCCCCTTGGTCAGATTCCTGAGGTCAGAAGCCTGAGGTCCCAACTAGGAAGGCCTGGAGAGTCTGTCCCTGTCCCTCCTTCTTGCTCTCTCTGATTTCAGAATGACATTTGGGGCACTGGCTGTTCATTTAGTTACTGAGTAAAATATTGAACAGACTACTTTTCTATAGTTAGGAAGCAATTTTAAAGGGAAATACCTATTTTTCTTCCTCTGTGATTTTTGAATACTAGCCTCTGGTCCTTCCAAATGTATGCTTTCTCCTCTTCCAGGTAGAACAGTCTTGCAATCAGCAACTATGTTAGCTTCCTTTCTTTTTCTAGCTATTCTCGCTCCTCTTCTGAAAGTTATATTTTTCTCTCCTATTTTCCAGTCTTTCCCATGAACTGCCAGACACAGAAATTATTACAAGTCCCTGTAATTTCACTTTCTAACACCAATAAATAATCTATCCATCTCTAAGAGGTCTTGGTAATCTTTTGCTTCTTATTTTTAATTTTGTCTTTATATTTTATACATATATATATTTCATTTTCTGGTCTGGCTTCTTTTTTAACCTGGTTACCTAAATTTGGCCTCTCAGACTCACACTTCACCTCCTTTTCCTCTGCAGAGGCTCCTCCAGCCCCAGGCTCTGTTCAGAGCTGACTGCTTCTTCCTTTCTCATCATGGCTGCTGTCTGCCTCACTGCTTAGCTCCCAGCTTCTCCCAGACTCCAGTTCAGTTACCTCCTATGACCTTAACTGCTTCTCCTCTCCCTCTCTTTTAAATTGCTGCGGCATGATTTTAATACTCAACAAATACCCAGCTAGGCACTATTTTTTTTATTAAGGTATAATTGGCATACATTAGTTCAGGTGTGTAACATAATGATTTGATATTGTATAAATTGTGAAATGATGACCACAATAAATCTAGTTAACGGTCTTCCCCATACATAATTAAAATATTTCTATCTTGTGATGTGGATTTTAAGATCCATTCCTCTAGCAGCTTTATAATACACTATTATTAACTATTGTCACCATGCTGTAAATTACATTGCTGTGACTTATTTATTTTATAACTAGAAGGTTATATCTTCTGACCATCTTCACCCATTTCACTCACCACCAATCTGTCGTCTGCATCTATGGGCTGTGTGTATGTGTGTTTTAGAATCTCCTCCATCTCTTGCTGTACTCACTGAATTACTCTTCTCATCTAACTATGCAAAACAGAATTTTAAGAACCTGGAAAGCCTCTTTATCCACCTACCCCATCATTAGTCAATATCACCACTTATTGCAGTGAAAATGTTGAGGGAAATGTTAGCCGTGCCAACATGTCTGCTCAGTGTCCTCTCTCTATTCCCAACATCCTTCCTTTTTTTTATCAGCCACTGGGAAACTTGTAGCATGCAAAGAGATCCATGTAATATGCCCTTTTGCCAACTCCAAACTCACAGAAAATTTATAAGAAGTCTAGAAAAATATCCTGTCTACTCTTGACCAGAGTCCCACTTAGGTGATGCAGAATCTCAGCAAATCTCAGCAACATCTAGCAGAAGGTCCATGCTGGGAACCCCAGTAAGCCTCTTGTCAGTCTCTATAATCTTTCAACCTGGAAGAGTTCTTAAAGCTTTCCTACCTCCAGGACCTTGACATTTTAAAGATTGTAGACCGATCATTTTGTTGAATACTAGCCTCTGGTCCTTCCAATTGTATGCTTTCTCCTCTTCCAGATAAAACAGTCTTGCAATTTGTCCTTTCCAGGGCTTCCTCATGATTAGACACTGATGACATATTTTGTGACGGGAGTATGGCAGATCCTATGTTCTTGTTGGTATATCCTGTCCCGGCGCACATCTATTTGTCCTGTTGCTACTTGTGTTAATTTAGATTCCTTGTTTGTAATGGCATCTGCCAGGTTTCTTTGAAATGTCTTTTTTTTCTTGTGATTAATAAACATATTGTGGAATGCTATTTTGAGACAATATAAAATCTTGTTCATGATTCACTTTCTACCCAAAAATTTTAGCACCCTTTGGTATGTTTCATCCCTGAATGAATTTTTACTGTGTTAGAAATGGTGGTTTTCCAATAAAATCATTTCTGCTACATTTATTAGTTCATTTCCTATACTAAGAAAAAACTTTCTCTTCCCACTTATTCCCAACTTAACTTTTCATTTATTGAAGTCAGTGTGGACTCATGGCTTCCTACTATTTCAACATATTGTAATCCATTCTTATTATTTCTTTTGATGTTCAAATTGTCTGTGCTGGACCAGTGGAAGTAGCTACATATAGAGCTTTTGGCATGGTTCCTTATCCTTTCCTTTCCTTATCTAAAAGATTTCCTCTTTTCTATCTTTTCCTTACTTTGATTACAGAAATGTATCACAGACTCATCTAGTTGTTTGTCAGACACATCCCTGAGGAGTCAGTCATTTATGTATTTAAGCGTGTATGTGTGGTGTGTGGTCATACACACATATTCTATATTTATTCTCTTTCTATTTACATCAAACATCATGAGCACTCAAGGGTACTTCTAATTCCAATCCCAAATCATAAAATTTATTCTAGCTTTCCCCTCTTCCATATTTATCCCTTTGTTCCCTGTCTGTGAGAACCCCGGTTCTCAATAGCTCCATCTCCCCGTATGTAACCAACCCAGGACCCTTCTGGCTGCTACTCTTCTTGTTGCAAACCGAACCCCTGTTTGGACCTGCCTCTTTCAAGTCGCCTCCATATTTAGGTCTGTTTTAATGGCTTTTGATCAAGAAAGAAAGAAACCAATAAATGCTTTTTAAAGAAGGGGATAGGAAGAACAAAAGGGCAGTGCTTAGTTTTAATCCAAATTATATTTCTTTCATCTTTCCTTTAATTTAGATAATTGGGCCTTTGTCATCTGTGAAATTATTCTAAAGAATTGAAAATGTCTTTGAGGGCCTCCCTGGTGGTGCAAGGGGTTAAGACACAACCTATGAAGCTGTCTGCAGCTGCGGTAGCACGAGTTCGATCCCCAGCCAGGGAGCCAACCCACATGTCCCAGCAGACCTCTCCTGTCTCACCCACTGCTCCCCTCAGCAGTGTATTTCAGTCAATCTGCCTTTTCTGTTCCCCACTCTGTCTCTGGTGAATCCTCTCACCCCCCGCAACTCTGGCCTGTACCCCAGCTCTTGTATACATAAATAATAAATAAATCTTTTTAAAAAACCTAACAAAAGTCTATGAAAAATAAATAAATAAATATGTCTTTGGCTATTTTTGCTCTAATATTTTTATTTGCTTGATGGTATGGGCAGTCTCTCAAATGGTCATTACTCAATTGCCTTTGACAATGGATAGGAGTAGGAGAAGCCCAGTTGAGTATTGTGAAGATAATAATTTCTGTTTTTATCAAAATGGGTTATGTGTGAGGCCACCCCCAAATCTCAATGCCCTACCATGGTGACAGTTTAGTTTTTGTTCATGCTGCATGCCCCAAACTGTTAATTAACTAGGAATCTAAAGAACTTACATGTTTAGAAGCTTCATTTCTAAGTGTGTTCCTGTGATTTCCATAGTTGTACGGAGAGAGTGAGGAATTACACTCTGGTTTTTAAAGTTTCTACTGGGAATTGAAGCACATCATTGTTTTCTCACATTTCATTGGCCAAGGCAAATCACATGACCACACTACCTAGGCCACAGAGAATCACATTCCTACTTGAATAGAGTAAAGTATGAAATGTCAGAGAACAGTACTAATGACCCCAAGATGTCATTGAAAATGACATCTAGGCCAAGGCTCAGAATTAGGCTCTGCCCTTTACAACAAGTTTGATCTTGTATAGTCTCTCTATCTACGAGGTAGAAATACCTATCATATGGGTATTATAAAAATAATAGTAAAAATATCGTACAGAATGTAAATACTGTAAGAAAGCATCATAACTATCCTTTCTAATAGCCATATCCTCAAATAGCAGATAACCTTTCTGGATCTACTGTGTGACTCAACGGATTCTATATTCTAGGTGATTATGAGGATTATCTTTTTTACTGATTATAAAAGTAATAAATGGCAAGAATTGAGAATTTTCCCAATACCAAAAAAATCATTAAAAATTACAAAAACAGTTGTCTCAAATAATATTTATCTGTTGGTATGCGATATATTTACATATATATATATACATAGTTTAAGTTGTTGAAGTCATACACAATCATTTTTGCATGGTTTCAAATTAAAATTTGAATGTACATATAATTTTTTCCTATATTTTCATTTAACCTTAAATTCTTAATATTTTCTCACATAATGACAAATTCTTTTAATATCATTTTTCAGGTCCACATAATGTTTCATAATTAATTAAATTTTTGCTGATCGCTGGGTGTCTAGGTTGTTTTCACATACATGATATTCATGCTAATTTAATTCTATTAAAGAGAAGAATTCCTTACTTCATACGTGCTTGTCCTGGGCCTTGGATTCACTCTTCATCCTTTTCTGCTCTGCTCCCTCTTGTAGGATCTAGGGTCATTTGGCTTCTGGCTGAACTCACCTAGTGAAAGGTATTAACAGGAGATTGCAAGGGCGGACGAAGAAGAATGAAGTACAGCTATTTCTCCCCTCCTCCTCTGTCTTGGATGGTTCTCTGGCAACCACACCTCCTCCTGGGCCACACCTTTCACCAGAGGGGATCCCCACCTGATCCAACCCCTTGCCTCTGGTAGCACTTCCTCCTTTCATCCCTCTGGCCTAGATATCACATTGACCTCCTGCTGTTGCTAATCTCTAGCTTGTGTCAGCATCTCCTGTTTGGGGCTGAGGGTCCTCTGCTCCCCCATCTCTTGGGTTATCAATTCCCTTCACTAAATTCTCTTTATTGGAAATATTTGGAGAAGTTAATGTTTTCCTGGCTCAACTTTTGCTCATTCACATATTGGACCACTACGGTTTCTATGACATTACCTTTCTCCTCAACTCTGGCCTGACTTTATGAGGGACACTCAGTTCAAGAAATAGAAACCCATCAAACAAACATACAAAGAGGCAGTGATTAAAATGAGCAACACACATTACCCAAATGAAAGAAGTACAGCTGGGACTCAGGAGAGAATGACTTTCAAAACTGTTCTCCCTCCATCTTTTACTCTGCAAAACAGAGTAAACGGAGAAAGTGGTACCCAAAGCCCCAATTCTGCCTAACTTCTCAAACCCAGTAGACAACATGAACTAAGTAAATGTGTGTTCCTCCAGTTCTTATTATCAAGCCTGGCTTGTTTTTAAAGCTCATGCACTCAGCTGTTAATAGGAGCGAGGCGTGGACAAGGTCAGGTGCTCCACACTTTGCTCAGTTGCAGGGGGTGAGCAGAGTCTCTGAGAAAGGCCAGGGGTAGGGCCAGCACCTTGGCTATCATGTCTGCTGCAAGCCTATTATTTGGTGATGCTACAATCTGGAGTTTCTGTTTCTGGAAATGTGACATATCAGTGCTACAGAGAAACTTCACCCAATAGAAGACACAGAAAGCTGCAGGATAAATTATAAACCAGCAGCAACATCTTTTTAGTTCACTGCTGAACAACCAGGAAAGTTAGGGAGACCACCTGTGCCTGAAATGAAGGGATGCATCCTCTATGACGGGGGGCGGGGGAGGGGGCGTGCGGGAGGCGCATGGATCAAGGGATGGAGGCCAAGTTTTGGCGTTGGTCATGTTTTAGTCTACAAGCTTGGTGGTCACTAAACGTGCATCCATTTTATCACTTTTTAAACTAAATTAAATATACATGTTTGCAAAGATGGTATATTCAATAAAATAAATGAAATTAGTTTAATATCCATGAATTAGAAATACTTTTAAATCTCAGTTCATAAGTGGTCAAAGCTTACTTTTGAAGCAATAAATATTTTATAAATGTGTTTCTCTGGCTTTAGTTCTGTTATTGCTGTTACAGGAAATCATGCACAGCTGCAAATCTCCAGGTTTTTCTATTCTACTATGAAAATTCTTTGTAGAATGATAGCTATGAAATGCCTCCTTCTGCTTACTGCTGTGGTAGGAGGTTACTACAAGTTTCCTCATCTTTTTGATGAGAAGAAAGTAATCTGTGAGCGTCCTTATGACTCAAGGTCTCGATTCCATGGTCATTTCCTGGGTCACAACATCAAGCTTACCACCTGGCCGTAGCAGCTGCGGATGAAATATGTTCATTTACCATCTCGCAGGGCTTTTGCTATTTAATGTTTAATTCCAACTCTGAATGAACTCACTAGGAGATGTGTCCATGAGTCCTGGGTCTCTCTATGAATCACTCCCTGTTGAATGAATCTCTCCTGCTCCTTTTGTCTAGAGTCCAAATGTCCATCCTCAGTCCTATGAAGTCCTCTAGACTCCCATTCCATCTCCTTGTAGTATTTTCAGATCTTTGTCTCTTGATATCCATAGTAATTGTAATATCCAGAGACCCTCTGCTCTTATATTAATTTACCAGGACAGTAAGTTCCTCATTTTAAGTGTTTATTTTTTCAACCCTACATCATTCACATTATCCCTTCAGTTTGCACAAAACCACTGCTGGAAGTCAGGCCATGGTTCTTTAATCTGGGTATCCCTCAAAACTTGTCATGTTTCCAGTGTTTCTGGCAATGGTCCTTCCCCAGGATTTACCTCTTGCCATGTGTTTTTGTGGAGTGTTTGCAATAGCGTGCAGGAAAGGAGCATAGTAACTAATGAGAGCTGATTGTTAAATAGCCAGAAGTTTTGTGAGTCAGTTGATAAGCCATCAGTAGCTTGAAACCAGTTATGGGGAGAGTATTTACATCATGGACACTGGCAAATCACATATATCAGGCCTATCCCTCCCACCCCAGAAAGCCAGTTTTCCAGCACATTACAGCATGTAGTTAAAATAAAAATGAAAATTAAAAAAAACATTTTTGTGAACATGGGTAATCAGTAAATTTTTATTATTGGGGCACTTAAAAAATCTTCTTCAAGAAGTCTCAGTTAAACAGTTTGTTCAATAAATGGTGTTGGGAAAACTGGACCACCACAGGCAAAAAATGAAACTAGACCGCTACCTTTCACTGTGCACAAAAATCAACTCAAAATGGATAGAAGAACTGGACATAAGACCTGAAACCATAAAATACATAGAAGAAAATACAGGTAAAACACTACAAGACATACATCTCAGTAACATCCTTAAAGACTCATCACCCAAAGCAAAGAAAGTCAAGGAAAAGATAAACACCTGGGATTACATCAAACTGAAAAGCTTCTGCACAGCAAAAAGGACATTAACCAAAATAGAGACACCCCACTGACTGGGAAAAAATTTTTGCACTCCATACAACTGATAAGGGACTGATCACAAAGATAAACAAAGAACACACACGACTCAACAAAAACAAAGTAAACAATCCAGTCAAGAAATGGGCAGAAAATCTTTTTTTTTTAATCATGTAATAATTTTAATTGCAAATATATTTATTACAACTTACAGATTAGTTAAGTTACATACACAAAAATAATTTTAACTATAAAATTCCAACAAATTGGTTACATTTAAATCACTGATCTGTAGAAGCCAACTTAGAAGTCTGCTAGTCCCTAACTTCACCTTCCTTAAATTATAAAAAAATAAAATCTGATAGTTTTGATTTCAAGTTAAAGATGAAGGGGTGCTATTATATTTCAACACTCAGAAAAGGAAATCTTACCTGTCTGTACAAGCCTTTCACATGCTAACAAGGATACTGAGAGCACCACTGCAAGACTTTGAATGAGTTAAGTATTCAATTAAAAAGTCCAATCTTCTTTTTAAGATTGTGGGGGTTTAAGTTTGCTCTAAAAACTACAATTGGGATGAAATTTGTTAAAATTTTGGCTTTCTCCTTCAGTCCAACTTTAAAATGGTCCTTTCTGTCCTTTTCATCCATCTGACCTCTTAAGAGAGTAAGTGGGGGAATTCTTGACCAAGCATTTACTCATTTGGTAGTAAGGCTGGAATCTCTGGGAACAAGTTTCCAAAATCCAACGTGTAAAAAAGGTATCCCATTTTCAAATTTGCAGAAGTGCAATCTTAAAAGACATTTCTCCAAAGAGGAAAATGGCCAACAGGCATATAAAAAAATGTTCAATATCCCTTACAATCAGGGAAATGCAAATCAAAACCACATTGAGATACCACCTTATACCAGTAAGAATGGCACATATCAAAAAAACAAGCAACAACAAATGTTAGCGAGGATGTGGTGAAAAAAGAAATTTCTCACATTATGGTGGGAGTGCAAACTGGTCCAACCACTATGGAAAGCTGTCTGGAGTTACTTCATCTACTAAAAATGGAGCTATCATACGATCCAGCAATTCCACTCCTAGGGACCTACCCAAAGGACACAAAAACATTGATCCAAAAGACCACCTGGGGACTCCCTGGTGGCTCAAGGGGTTAAGACGCAACCTATGAAGCAATCAGCAACCACTACGGCACAAGTTTGATTCCCGGGCAGCCAGGGAGCTACCCTGCCTTTGGTGAATCCTCTCACCCCCCACAACTCTGGCCTGTACCCCAGCTCCTGTATGCATAAATAAATAAATCTTTAAAAAAAAAAAGACCACCTGTACCCCTTTGTTTGTTGCAACACTATTTACAACAGGCAAAGCCTGGAAATAACCCAAATGCCCAAAAATAGATGACTGGATCAAGAAGATGTGGCATATATACACAATGGAATATTATTCAGCAATGAAAAAGATAAACTCATGCCATTCGCAGCAATGTGGATGGAGCTAGAAGGAATTATGCTCAGTGAAATAAGCCAGAAGGAAAAAGAAAAATATTAGATGGTTTCACTTATAGCAGGAATATAGGGGAACCAAATGAGACATCAGTGTGAAAAAAAATAACAACAGTACAAAACACAACAAAGCAAAACCAGACAATTACAAATCAGAGACACACTGCAGGGGAGGAGGAGGGAGAGGGATCAGAGGGAGGGAGGGAGCACAGGGGACTGAGGTGATGGTGCACGGGTGCATTGCTGAAGGAAATTCTTTGGGGACTACAGCTGAGGGGGTGGGGGGAAGCAAATATTGTTTAAAAATAAACAATGAAGTAAAAAATTTAAAAAAAAATTTAAAAAAAGAAGTCAGTTAAAAAGTTACCCAAACTGGTAAAATGATGCTCTGAAGGAAACAAAAAATGCAAAATTCTAAAGAAAAAAATTGATAGAGTGAACTTTACCATGATTTACAACTTCTTATTTAAAAATACTTTCATGGGCCTCCCCGGTGGCGCAGTGGTTGAGTGCTGGGTTGCGAAGCTGCCCGCGGCCTCTGCGGCGCCGGTTTGATCCCCGGCTGCTCCCTGGCCACCGGAGGAGGGTCCCACATGGCGTGCAGACCTCTCCTGCCGCCCGCTGCTCCGCTCAGCAGTGTGCTTTGGTCCTTCTGCCTGCTCTGCTCCCCGCTCTGGCTCTGGTGAATTCTCTCACCCTCCCGCGCTTCTGACTGTACCCAGTGCATGTATAAACAAAACAAACAAGCAAACAAATAAATAAATAAAATATGCCTCTAAAAAATAAAAAAAATAAAATGATAAAAAAAAAAATACTTTCATTAAAATGAAAAGGTAAGACAGAAACGTGAGAGCAGTCACAGCATGGTGAAGAGTTAGTAGCTAGAAGGTATCATAACTTTACATTTAAACAAATAATAAAACATAAACAATTCAGTAATGAAATGGGGAAATATTTGAATAGATGCTGCTCAAAAGCCAATATGCAAATGACCAACACTCGCTTTAAAAAGGCTCAACATTATTATCATCAGGGACTGGAAAATTGAAACCTCAATGACATGTCATTCTCAGCTACAAAAATGGCTGAAATCAAAGAACGTGGTCAGGATGTCGAACAAGCTGGGCCTCTCCTACTCTGTTGGTGGAAATGAAAAATGTTGTAACCACTTAGGAAAACTGTTTGGCAGTTCCTTATAATGGTAAGCATACACCCACTCTTTGATCCTGCAATTCTACTTTCACCCAAGAGAAATGAAAACCTAGCTACAAAAAGACTTACATAAGTATCACAATAGCCCCAATCTGGAAATTACTCAATGTCCACCAGCAGGTGGAGGAATAGACAAATTGTGGTATATTTATATAATGGAGTACAACTCAGCAATAAAAAGGCTCAAATTGTTTACACATGCAACATCATAGAAAATCTTATAAATCTGTTGAGCAAAAGAATCGGTGACCAAAGGCTATCTAAGACATGCTTCTATTTATAAGAAGTTCAAGAAAAAGAGAAAAACTAACCTTTGAAATCAGAACGCTGGTTGTTACCTTGCAGGGGATGGTGCTGGTTAGGAGGAATTGCGAAGAGACACAAGGCAACTTCCTGGAATGAGGGAAATATTCTAAGTTTTGATTGTGGAGTGGTTACGCGGGTATATATATTCATCAGAACTCATTATCTGCAGGTAATTTCAGCTCAAAAATAGTAATAAGGGGACTTCCTGGTGGTGCAGGGGTTAAAACTATCACCAGCCATTGTAGCACAAGTTCAATCCCTGGCCCACCACCACACCACATGTGCAGCAGACTTCTCCTTTCTCACCCGCTGCTCCCCTCAGCATTGGGTTTCTGTTGATCTGCCTGTTCTGCTCCCCACTCTCTCTGGTGAATGCACTCATCCCCGTACCTTTGACTTACACCCCAGTTCTTGTATGTATAAATAAATCTTTAAAATAATAATAATAATAATAAACAGGAAAAAAATCTGTTCCCCAAATAGGAAATTAAAGAAACAGAAGCAAAATAATTTCATTAAGTCTGCAGACAATGAAGTAACATTTTATCTGGTTTAATATAGGAAATATATATCATCAGAAGATAGCAAGCAGATGCTAGACCATGAGACAAAAAAAATAGCCGAAACAATTGAACCTCACAACAAACACCATTACACATTTAGCATGATATTACATTAAAGCTCTCCACCAATGTTTTTATTTAAGCTTAATGGTCCTCAGCAGTAGTAGTTTCTTTCTTAGCCTTAAAAAAAAAGTGGTTTGGCCTGTTTACTCATATTGGTGGAGACAAATGCAATAAATCATCACAACCTCCCACGCTCTCTGGCTGGCATTAAACTGCTGGCTCACAGTGTAGCCGGCAGGCCCGGCAGGCCCTGTACCTCCAGGCCTGTTAATTGCTGCGCAGCCAAGGAGATTTCAGGAGATTAGAGAAGTTAGGGAGTTGAGGAAGTCTGCCTAGGAATTACCAGAACTCAGAGGCAGCTCAGTCAGCATTTCTGAAACCACTTGTGGGTGATGCACCCTGCCTTTAAGGGGGTGGCCTCTGTACTTACACCTGGCAGTGCTTTCCATGCCTCCCAGCGCTCGATGGTCATGGAGCTGGTAGACATGGCCTCCTCCAGGCCCAGACTATTGGGTTAGCTTCGGCTTTAGCATTAAGGGCAGATAGCTGCGCCCTGACTGCCACACCTCCAGTACCTTCCTGGATCTGTCTGCTCATTCCCAGAGGCCCCAGGAGTTCTGGTGTCAGCATGGAATGAGAACACAACTCACCCCTAGCAGCATTGTCACCTGGTGGACCATAAACTGAAAGGCTGTTGAACTACAGAAGGATTGAACACAAGTAGATATGGCTATGGAAGAGCAGAGGTCCTGAGCGCCTGAGTTGGCGGCTGCCCCTCATCAGGAATCCTTGCAAGGGGGCTCTTTCCTCAGGCCTGGCTTCCTCATCTTTTCGCTGGGACCTATGCTCACCTTATTGAGTCCCTGGTCTTGGATCTGATCCTGAGGATGCCAGAGGAAATGCAAACCTCATTTCACCAGAGGGCAAGCTCAGCTTCACAGTTGCCTTACTATGCACAGTCATTTAGGCTCTTTTGTCTTGACAAGCCCCTTCCTTGACCCCTAAGCAAAGGTCCTTTGTGTAAGAGGCAGCACCTGCCTGCCCTGGCTCCTGGGTTCAGCGCATGTGGACGCCCTTACCCCTTAAAAAGCTGTGTTCAGTTTCATTAAACAGCAATTTTTTTCTTTGTTTTAATTCATTTATTATAAATTTTGAGTTCATTTTCCCAAGACAGGTACCACTTGGGTTACATGTTTGCAGAGGCTCAGAATTTCACAGGACGGAGTATAAGCTAGGGATAGATGGAGAGCGAGGAGATAATATACCTAATCCGTGTGGGGCCTGCTGGTCCTCTTGCCTGACCGGGGATCCATGCTTTGCTTTCTTATTTTCAGCTATTACTTTAGTTTCTCTATTTTATTTGGACACTAAGATGAAAAGGGTACAGTTTGCCTTCCTCTGGGTCAGCAAAGCCAATGCTTAGGAACTGAAGGGAAGGGCAGGAGCCCTGGGCCAGTGAGATGCCCCCTTCTGTAGCCCACGATGCACCCACATATTTGCATTAAATGCTTTGCATTTGGTAAATCATTTCCATGCTGACTTTCCTGCCTGATCCTATGTGAGGAAGTTACGGGGAGAATCAAATTTCTCCTTACTGCTAAGTTTAGCATCATCGTCTAATGCCTTTTGACCACTACTTTCTAGACCCTGGTCTCCTTAGGCAGTTTTGGAAGAAGTTTTGCCAAAATTTTTTGTGTAAAATAAGAAAACACCAAGTCCATTTGCTCTGAGTTCCAGCTTGAAGTGCCCTAGGTTTTCTAGTGTGGCAAACTCCTCCCCCACTAAGACTTCTGACCCACAGCCATGGCTGTCTTCTGGAAACAGGGTCACACGTGGCTGCCTGGGATGATGGGCCTATTGTCTGCAACCAGACAGAAGCAAACCTGGATTAGCATTTTCTTTTTTTTTTTTTTAATTTATTTATTTATGCAAGCAAGAACTGAGGTACAGGACAGTGGTGCGGGAGGTGAGAGGACTCACCAGAGACAGAGTGGGGAGCAGAACAGGTGGATCTACTGAAATACACTGCTGAGGGGAGCAGTGGGTGAGAGAGGAGAAATCTGCTGCGCCATGTGGGCCACCTCTCTGGCCGGCTGGGGATCGAACTCGTGCTGCAGTGGCTGCTGATAGCTTGATAGTGCTGTCTTTAACCCCTGTGCCACCAGGGAGGCCCCTGGATTAGCATTTTCAAAAAGGCTTACCCCAAAGATAGAAGTTTGTGACCGAAGAAAATACTACTGTTCGGAGCACTGTCAGACTGCTATTAGACATTTTCCCATGCATTTGTCCTACATTCTTGTGTCCTATTACAATATTTATATAAAAGCCAAGAACAAGCATGGGGCGTATGAAGTTCTGAGTTTACTAGTCTACTGTCTCTCTCCTACTGCAAGGAATTAAGAAACTGGAGCTGAAAATGAAAATGTTCACTAGCATTTTCTACATTAAGGCACCAGTGGAGATCGCAATAGCTCTTCCTTTTTTTTTTTTTTTTTTTTTAAATAAGTGGCACTAAGCATTGCAGACATCCAGCTCAGCTTGGGACAACTTTAAAAGCCCACCACCAGATCCCCACCAAGATAAGCAGCCCTCATGCTGTGGTGCTCCACCATCAGATAGAAGAGATGGCTGGGGCTGATGATAAGAAAAGAAGAGGGATGCTTTTATAAAAATAACATAATTTGGCTCCCTGAGAAAAGGAAAGGCAAAATGCAGGCTGTGTTTCTTCTCTCCCTTACTTGCTTCCCTAGGTAGAAGCATTAATAGGCTTAGTGCTTATTAAGGTGAAATCAAAATGAGAGAAAGACAGAGAAATTGCATGAACAATATTCCTAGAGACCTCAGGTTTGAGAGTTTCCAGCTGGCTCATTTGTTTCAAGAAAGGAGATTTAGGGATGGCCGAGCCCCTTTCTGCCTCCATTCAGCTTCAAAAAGAAAAGAGGCAGGAAATACACAGCTAATGTACAAGGTGTGATCCAAAATGAGGGCAACTACTCCATCTTTTCACTTCAACATTTGCTGAATGATGGTTATGTGCCCAGCTCTATGCTTGATTTAGAAATATATAAAAAGACTCGATGATTATAATTTAACCTCCCCAAAGATAAGGCAGATGAGCCAAGACTCATCTTTGTGAAAGAAAGATTTCCCATTCCAAGTCTCCTGAGCTCACTGGGATGATTTGAATGGATCAGATGCTGGAAACAGTTCAAATACCCCATCATGGTCATCGCCGAGACTCTGCCATGAGCTTGCTGCAGTGATTGTAGGATCAAGAAAATCCACTTAAATGTGGAGCTGCTTGTCTTTGCCTTTATCCTCCAACATCCTACATTCTGAATTGTTTGCACCACAGTGACATCTCTTACATCAAACACTAATCAAATCCCTCTCCCACATTCAACCTCAGTTTCTCCAGATGTATTGTTATAGAACCATCTGGTCCAAGTCATTCAGTCTCTTGACTGAGGCTCAGAGGCCTTGAAAATTTGTACAGGTTCATTTCAAGTCCCTCTGGTTTGGTCCCCCATCAAGTGTGGCCTAGTGTCCCGGTCTGTTATATCTGTAAAGACACCTTATTGAAAACAATTTCCTGGAAATACCAGCGTAATTGTCTTGTTTCCAGTTATTTGGAATTGTTTTTTATTTAATGAATGCAAAGCTTTCAGAAATATTGCGCATTTTTATTCAGTTCAGAATGGGCTGATGTCGGAAAAATTTGCAGGGATTCTTCCCTTTGCAGTAGAATCTGGTTCTGTGATATTACAAGCAGCTATAGGCAGCCATGTTATCTACATTGTCTTTTTCAAAGCCTGGTTCTGCGTGTATGTGTGTGGTTGTGTGTGTGCTGGGGCAGGAAAATTGGAATGAAAATTAAACTAGACGTTTTTACAGAAATTAAGCAATTACTATTTGCAGATATAATGTTAATTCTTAAGCGACCCCTTACCAGCATCAAAGCACATCACTTGGAAATTAAAAAAAACCACCTCACTGAGCAAGCAGATAAATTTATTTAGGTGATGCATCCAAGAATTACCTGACCCTTCCAGTTAACCCAGCCTGCAAAAGACAGGGTCCACATGCCCATCAACTCAAGCAGGAGACTCAGAAGCCTCCATTGCCTGTGGCCCATGGCTTGTGACAGCAAAGTGAATCACTTCTGGAGAAGACAATGACTTGTTTACTTTTCACTGAATTGAAAATTGAAGATATTTCATAATAGGATCTGGGAAATTTTGCCAGATGTTTCATTTCACTGTGTTCTTCTGGCAGGTTTACAAGATATAATGCTGAGAAAGGCTAATAAATCAAGGTGGGCATGAAAAGCTTAGGGACAAAATTCATAAAAACATGCACTGCAGGAGGACACCTTTTCTCTGGCTGCTACAATATGAAATTTCCTTATTTTATTCTTGATGCTTCACAGACAAGCTCATATAAACTATAGATCTCTTCCTCATTCCTCTCCTTTTCTCTTCTTTCTTTGTTTTTTATTCCAATTTTGCCAGCCTAAGAATATCTAACCCTAGAATAGGAAAATACATTTTTCTAAATTTCTTATGAAGGATGATCACATAAATACATAACCATGGCCTTGAAGTAGCTTCAACTTGAGAATATTTGGCTAGCCTAAGGAAAGGTACACGGGAACAAAGGTCGAGATACTTAAAAATAACAATTCATTTTACCAGAGATGAACACTGAATGGGAAAGTTCTGTCTCCTTTTTCTTTTCCTCCTCTTCATAGCTTTGAGGTGCTAATAACAAGGTGCCAATAAATCACAGGAGACGCTGGTACAGACTTTATACTGTTCATCTGTGACTTTGGACCGATGTTTGTGTCCTCACGATTACAATCCTGCTGTCTTAGTGACCTATTACTGTATAGAGAATCAGCCCCAAACTTAGTGGCTTAAGCAGTTCAGGAATTTGGGAGTGACCTGTCTGAGTGGGGTGATCTGGTCAGTATCTCTTACGAGATTGCAGCTAGAATGTTTTTGTTGTTGTTGCTTATTTTTTTGCGTAAGTGAACTGGGGTATAGGCCAGCATGTGGGGGTGAGAAGATAAATCAGAGACAGAGTGGAGAGAAGAACAGGCAGAATGACTGAAATCCACTGCTGAGGGGAGCAGCGGGTGAGAAAGGAGAGGTCTGCTGCGCCATGTGGGTAGCTCCCTGGCTGGGGATCGAACTCAGGCTGTAGCGGTCACAATGCTGAGACTTAATCCCTAGGCCACCAGGGAGGCCCTTGCAGTCAGGATGTTGATGGGGCTACTGGCAGTAAAGGCTGGGTTACAGTCTTCCAAGGTGACACACTGACATGGCTCACAGCGGGAAGCCTCAACCCCTTATTGTGTGACCTCCTTCTTCGTCGGCTGCAAGAATCTGCATGACATGGCAACAGGCATCCCCAGAATGAGTGATTCAAGTGAGAGAGAGAACAAGAAGGAAGATCTAGCATCCAGGGTCACACACTGTATACAATCATCGATGTGCTAGAAACAAGTCGGTTAGCCCAGCACACACTACAGGGGAGGGGAGTGGAGAATTTGTCTCCACATCTGAAATAGAGGAATATCAAAGAATTGGTGGACACATCTTAAAATTATACCAAAGGTTGTATAGAAGCTCTCATTTTTGAAGTTGATAGCCTTCTCAAGGCTTTTAAAAGACCACAGTCTCTAGGACTGAGAGCAGTTGCTAGGGAGGTATAAATGAACACCACACATCAAGAAGAAAGAGGAGGCACAGGAGCACAATTCTATTCATGTCACTTAATAAATCTTCCTCACTAACCTCCACCCCTTATTCCATGCTGACTGTGCTGATAACTAATTTCTCCTGAACCCCAATTGTTGGCCTTACAATTGTTGTGTTCTTACAACATTCTCCCACCTTTTAGGACAAAGAACCCAACACAGGCGGAGGTCCAGACAGCCCTGAAGCCTAGATCCCACAACAGTCAAACATCCAGGAATGGAGAGGATGACGGGTAAACGATACATGAAAAGGAGAGAAATTTTCCACCGATGTGAACTCTGTTACCTTATGTCTCCTAGAGTTCTGGGAGGCGTTGCTATGGCCTCCCAGAGGAGTTCTGGGTTTCTTCTAGTGACAGAAGCAGTTAATTCTCCTACGTGGGGCCAGCATATCTGATTTCTCACTCTTCACTCCTCTGCAGCTCCTCTGAGCTTCCTGGACCCAAGGCTTCCAGTCTCTGCTGAGCAATAATCAGACACTAAATCACTCTCTGCCGTTATTATCCGGAATCTGCCCATGGATATCTTTATATCCCACCAGGAAGTCTGTTCTGATCAGCTGTTCACCAACTTCCTTTCATGCTTACAACGGGCAAGAAAAGTAGCTTTAGGGACTACTAGCTCGCCTCGCAGTCAGTCCTAATGGTCTTATCACTCGGCTACCTGCTCCTTCTTCCCAAAGGGAACACCAGTTAGTGTATGTGAGTCAGAGAGTCTGGCTGAACCATCCTATTACTGTTTTATATAAAGCACTTACTGAATTCCTAGAGGGAAGAAGAGTCTCCAAGGGGGACTTGTCTCATTAAATGCTGCCTGCTTTCCAAGCAGCCAGAGAGGATCTGAGAAGGGGTGAGCAGAAAGGCAAGACCTTTGGGGGGCTTGGTGATGCTAATGCACTAACCTCTGGGCACATGGGCAGCATAGATTGGGAACAACCTCAGAGGAGAAAATGAGAAATAGGCTTTTTTCTTTTGTCCCACTTAATAGACTTGAGTAAAAGACAAAGCCATTTTTATAGAATGATAAAAATATGCCCAGTATTAAAGCTTCTAGATTCCTGTACCTAAAAACTCTTTATGATTTGTTCTTTTCTTTTTATCTTTCTTTTAAAAATTTCTTTCCCTTTCTGTTTCTGCTCTATGGAATTCATAGCTTAGCCCTTGACAGAGAAAGAAAATGGCTTCTGAAGGTGTGGTCTTTTAAAAAGCTTGTGAAGAAAGACCAGAAATTTCTTTAAAAGGTTTCTGGCCTTTCAACTCTAGTTTATAGGAACATACATAGGAACCCTCCAGAAAATCACTTTTTGCTTTGAAAACACCACAGAAAACAAGCCAAACTCCCAGGTTGACAGGAGGCCGTCTGCAAAGAACTTGGGGATTGCATTTGCAAGGATTTCCAGAGCAGACTGATGCATCTGGATGCAATGTGCTCCGAGTGTCAAATCATTAGGGACCTTATTCTACTGCCAGGAATAAGTCTGCAGAAAGAGAAGAAAACCCCCTGTAGAGAGGAGGCTTGATGGGTATGATTTCTGAATACAATTCTTCCCAAGAATATGGCTGGCCAGCTTCTGCATCTCCCCCACCTAAACTGCGCCACACAGAGCAGGGAGCCCAATTCTCTTCCCTCTTCTGTGGGGGATTTAAGTAAACATTTACATGTCTGCATTGAGCAGTGTGAGGAGGAATGTGTGTGTGGTTGTGTGTTGTGCACGTGTGGTAACACTACCTTCCAAAATCTGACAACACTTGACTCTGCCCTCTGACCTTGGAAAGGCAAGCTGCACACTGAAACAAAAGGGTCTCCTGACCTTCCTTTCCCAGGATGGAATTCCTTACTTGGGTGGCCTCCACAGAACCAGTCATAGGACTGAGAGCAAATGTTCTAATACCCCTCCTGCTTTAGGACATTTGGTAAGCCAATTTTCGCACACCCCCTTTGAAAAGAGCTGTGGCAATCTAACTTGCTTTTCACACTAAAACAAGGATGGAAGCAATTGTACCACGTCCTACTGAGGTTTTAAGAGTCACTGCATAATCTGACACCTCTTCTTTTTATCTGCCACGGTAACTGGCAATGTTTCCGCGATGGAAGCTTCCAGAGTGAGGGTGACTTTGAGGAGGGCCCTTCCATCAACCCTTGATGGACTTGTAGGGAGAGTTAAAAATAAGCTTTTACTGTTCTAAGTCACTAGGATAATTGTCTTGTTTCTTCTTGTAGCATAGTCAATCCTGCTCTACTTGACTCCCATAAGTCCCTCTAGGAAGAGGAAGATTTCTAGCTGACATTGGGAAGAAACTATGCTCGTAGTTCATAGATATAGATGAGGGTTTGAAAAAGTCTTTCTCACTTGCAGTCCAGAGAAATAGCTATCATATAGGCAATGGGAAAAGGCCAAGTTTCCATGCAAATGTATTTATAGATGATTTTGCTATAGAAGGACAGATTAACACAATTTTTCAAATTGCTTTGTTCAAGTTTATGATGAGACTTATCTGTTTTTCTTCCTTGCACACAGCCTACAACCCCTACAACATATGTGCATATCCTACTCCCACTCCATCTGAATGCATTTTATCCATTGAATGGGATTAGGGTGGAAGATCATGAGCTAATCATGCTTCAACAGTGATGAAACCTGGCAGCATTCTTGTCTAAAGCATCATTATTTTCTTAATGAACTCTTACATCTGTCCTCTGCAGGAGAGACTTTAGAAAAGATTTACTTTAGGGCCCATAGGAGTAAACAAAGCGTTATAAGCAGTGGCCAGTCACAATTTCATTCTCATCAAATGGGCAGTAGGAAGTGTTGTTTGTGAAGAATCTGTATAGTAAGGGTCAGTATTCAGGAGCCATGGCTGTAATTATTTTTAAAATATTTTAATTTTAAACATTATTTTTATTTTTAAATAGAGGCATGTTTTATTTATTTATTTGTTTGTTTGTTTTGTTTATACATGCACTGGGTACAGTCAGAAGCGCAGGAGGGTGAGAGAATTCACCAGAGCCAGAGCAGGGAGCAGAGCAGGCAGAAGGACTGAAGTACACTGCTGAGGGGAGCAGCGGGCGGCAGGAGAGGTCTGCGTGCCATGTGGGACCCTCCTCTGGTGGCCGGGGAGCAGCCGGGGATCGAACCAGCGCCGCAGAGGTAGCCGGCAGCTTCGCAACCCAGCGCTCAACCGCTGCGCCACCAGGGAGGCCCTTAAACATTATTTTTAAAATGAACCCTTGGACATTTACGGTATTATCAGGCTAGGTTCCCAATAACAACCTAAGGCAAGGTTTAAATACTAATGCTTCATTGGGGCACACAAGTCAAGGGCATGGAGAATAAGGCAAGGGAGGCAGGCAGGCAAAGCAAGCCAAAGGAGGTGGTTTTGAGCAGGTGCATTCAAGTTCCATAAGAAAACACAGCTGGTGGGACCTGTGGGCTCTGGGTATGTCAAGAGGAAACTAGGACCTCAGAACCACCAGTTAAGGAGAAGATGGATGAGAGAAGTGTTTTTCTGTCAGCTTTTATCTGCTTCCTGACCATAGCAGATCAGGTGTTGCCTCAGTGGGTGTTCATTCTCCCTCTCCTCCACTTTCCCTTGCTGCAGGTTATGCTTCAGCCCTTTTGGGAGGGGCCAATCCCCAGCCTCATGCACTGGTGTTTCATCCCTGTTCCCCAAGAGGAGGACTGGAAATTTTATGACTCCACTAAGGTCTATAGAGGGCCCTGAGTCGCTGCTAGTGGTGATAGGAAATGGTGGGGGGCCAGGGGTCAACAGCCAGGGTTCTCCACTGGCCAATAGTCAAGACCTAGCAACATGCCAGACAGAGTCATCTGCAATGTGTAAACTGAGTCCTCATAGAGAGGGAGAAGCATGCTATGTCTCTGTGGAGACAATGATGAGAGTCCTGGAAATTTTATATGTAGGCAGTTTAACACGTGTAAGTATACATGGTTGTCAGCCTGTTTTGGAGGGCTGGGGAGCATCTCAAAAGAAAGTAGCATGGATAATAAGGTTTAAGGCAAAGACATTACAAGCTCAAAACAGGGGAGGGAAGAGACTGTGGTGATGGATCACGGATGCTATGGTGGTGGGAGAAGTACAGGGACTACACCCAAGAGGAGAAATCACTGTTCAAAAATGATCAACAATGTAAGAAAATAATTTAATTATTTTAAAAAAGATTTATTTATGTATGCATACAAGAACTGGGGTACAGGCCAGACGTGCTGAGGGTAAGAGGATTCACCAGAGACAGAGTGGAGAGCAGAAAGGCAGACTGACTGAAATACACTGCTGAGGGGAGCAGCGGGCAAGACAAGAGAGGTCTGCTGGACCATGTGGGTAGCTTCCTGGCCGGGGATCGAACTTGCACTGCAGTAGTTGCAGATTGGTCCATAGTGCTGATGCCTAACCTCTTGTGCCACCAGGGTGGGCCCTAATTATTTTTTTTTAATACAAATTGAAAAAAAAAAAAAGGTGAAGCCATTACAAGCTGTGTCAGAACTGGTGTATCTCCAGTGCCAGATTGTTAGCAATCACTAGGCCCATTTATTTATTTATTTATTTATTTATTTATTTATTTATTTATTTATTTATTTATTTATTTTTTGTGGGACCCTCGCCAGTGGCCAGGGATCGAACTGGTGCTGCAGAGGCTGCGGGCAACCTCGCAACCCAGTGCTCAACTGCTGCACCACCAGAGGAGGCACTAGGCCCATTTAGCCTACTGGAAACTCTGAAAGGGTGAGATATGAATCAGTTCTGCAAGAGAGGTCAGTAAGTCACTGGATAGAAGTGCTGGACATGACACTTGTATTGGAATCAAGTAGGGCTTCTCAGCAAGCGAGCACCACACACTCAAACAGCCAGACAAAACCCAGGCATTTGGTCATTGGTCACTGCAGTAGGGTGAATAGTGGGTTATGACTACTTGGTACCAAAAATTGAATCAGGCTTGGGGTCCACGAGCCAAACCCCAAGGAACTCTCAGTTCTTGTTTTGGCGAAGAAATAATTCAACATAAAGACCACAGTCAGGCAGAAAAACTAGAGATTTATTGTCAGGTAAGAAGGATAGGAAATCTCTCTGAGCAGAGAGGGTGGGTAGACTCTGAGGGAGCAAGAAGTAGGAGTTTATATGATTATGGAGGTCATGGAATAGTGGTTTGGAGGTATCTGTGTTGTGTCTCTTGTTGATTGGCTGAGGCCTGTGGAGTCCCTCAGGTTACTTGGTATTTTCCCAGAAGGAGCTTTGGTCTGTTGCTTTGGCATTGTGTGAGTTTTCTGAACAATCAGTTTTTACTGGATTGGGGCACTCTGACCCTACCTGACTGCCTGTATTCAGCCTAACTTGTCATTCAAAATCATTCAAACAACAACACTGCAGCTATCACAAATACCCATGAGCACACCTTATTAAAGCACTTTCTAAGCTGTCCAATGACCTGGAAGTAAAAATGTCTA